TCTTGCGCAAATAAAACTCATAGGGCTTGATTTAATTGGTTTTTCAACCTTCATTTTGGATACCTGTAAAATTTTTGGACTAGCCACTGTGAACGAAATGAATTCGAAAGTAACTGTCACAAAAGATACTCATTAAATCCGGCAGGAATATTACAAACTGTAGAATCCAATTAAATAAATTAATTTTCTTTCATGAATAAGCCTGCTATAAAATAATGAAAGTAATTACTTGCCCAGGTATTCAACTTATTTCGAAAACTAAAACCGTTGAAATATCTAATTTTACCAAAGTTGTTATTTAGTTCATTAACCTGGTATACTCAGGGGGCCAGCGTTTCAGTCTCAGTCCGGCTTCTCAAAATGCAGTATTGTTTTGGAACTGCTAAAAACACGTTTAAAAGTTTCTCGATTAGGGAAACACGTTCCGCGCTGGAAAAGAGAAAAACTTTCTTTAAACTGAACAGTTTGGAAAGTTTTGCATCTTGTTATTGTTTTGTTTTTCTCTGAAGTCGTATTTGACCGCTAATTAGAATTCATTAAAAAGTCTCATTTTTCCCCCGGAAGTTTCGTAATAGTTAAGACCAACCCCGCTAAATTTCATACGAAACCTGTAGTCTTAAACGAGATTAGATTCATCGGAAATTCGGTCTTTCTTTCTCAAGATTTGCCAACTGTCAAATCCTTTGATTGAAACCACGTCATCCAAATTTTTTCTTTTCACTTATTAAATTTGAATTGGTTAAAATTTCAAAAAGTATGATAGAAATCGAAGTTAAATTCGACTTTTCTTTAAGCAGGAAATTAATCGTGACGGTTCGCTCAATTAAGTGCATTTTGCTCAACCTGGTGATTCTATGATGTGTCAATTTCCATGACATTTTCAAATATCTTTATTTTTAGAAAGTAAAAGAAAATATCGCAGAGCATAATTCATATAGGGGTGGAATTTAAATAATTGATTTTTGTGAACAAATAAATTACTGCGAACTAAGTTTCAATGTATAAATGGTCGAGAGTATTTTGTGTATTTTGAAATTTCTTAAGTACGTGTACATTAGGTAAGAAGCTTTTTAGCCGATAGTGGTATCCTCGATCAAAATACTTCGTGATGCTGTAAAGAGTTTCGTCAGTTGTACAATTCACTTATGAACTCGATTCAAACACCCCGACGGTATTAGCTCAGAGTTAAAATTAAACGCCTTGGGGTGTTTCAAGCTTTTTTGCCAGAGTCGGGCAGTGCGTTGAACTTAGCTAACAAAACAGGCGATGCATGCCACAAAATGCTTAGCTAACGGCCTCATGAATAATATCTCAAATTTTAATCTCTCGTATCATATCATTACCCATATTGTCGCAGAAGAAAAACATCGAAGAGAGATTACCATGACTTAAACTCGAAGTTTAGAAATGATATTTGCACATACATGGATTAGCTGTTTTTTTTTTTTTTTTGAAGAATAGTCTTGAATACGAAGCAAATTAGAATGAATAATGAAATTTCCTGGCTTACAGAGATAATTCAATGCCCGCTTTTTCAAGAAAATTTAATTCCTGAAGTTATTTTCGGGCGTCAGTTGGAAACATTGAACTCCAGCCGAAAGCTGGCTCCATCTAACTAATGCGGTTGACAAATATTGGCTTTCTATAATTGAAGATAAAAGCTGAAAATATGTAAATCTTATTTCACCTGTTGTTAGATTCAGACTCACTGCCGTTGGAGATTCATTAACGTTATCAATAATATTATGAATTAACTCAAAGGACAACCGAGAAGTCTTCCGTGAAACCTGTCCGATCAAAAATACGGTTTCCATTCTTTTTTATCTGCAATTCACCAGCGATTTTTGCTGTTTGATTGAAAATGTGTCTAAGACTCTCCATTTTTTCTTATGCTCGCAGGCTTAAAGAGCCCTTATTAAGTATTAATTCAAAATAGAGTTTGTGTGAAAAGTCACGTTTTCTTAAAAACGCAATTCATAAAACAAGGACTGAAGCGTAAATATTTCTACATAATCAAAAAATCCAGATAACTGTAAATAGATCCAAAGATAGGAGAAATATGATAAACTGGAAATAGGCCCTCTTGAAAATGTATAACTTACACCTCGAGAGCTCCAAGATCTCTCTATTTCCGCAGGAAAATTTCTACGAAAAAGCCCTAGAATCAATTGCGTTTCTTTTCTTCAACGCAACGAATTTCAAATGTGGTTGAAGATAAATTATTTACCTGTAGATTGCACAGTGCTGCGGTTCAGCGCGTTCCGAAAAGTTTCCACTACAATAAACCGTTCGCACGAACAGCTTGTAAATACGTTAGGTAAGAGCATCTGGATAAAATGTAACTACGTTGGTGCATGATATAGGAAACTTTCACTAAATTACAGCTTAATCTCCCGCAGTTTTGTTTTGGATTACAGGAAGATTGGATTTTTAACTCAAGGTGGATCGATTCAAGAACGGTCTTGTAGCAGCCCTCATGCAGGCGGATTTTAGTAAATGTCTGCACTTTTGGAAGACGAAAACCCTAATCTAGACTGTGACAAACCGAATAAAGTGATGACTTAGCATAAAATATACAACATTAGGCCAATAGGGTGATTGAAAAAAAGGAAAGGTAGTGAAAAGAACTCTCAGCTCGACAACTGCAAAGAAGTGCAGCAAATGCTCTGCATGTAAGTAATAACAGACTCCTGCTCTCACTGCATGGATGAGAGCTTTGCGTTGTTTTTTTTTATCAATGCTGACTGGTCGAAGGACCAAGGCTTCCCAAGGCTTCCCACTGCAGATTTCTAACGCTGCATGACGGAAAAAGGAAGCCGATTTCCAAAAAAAAAAAAAAAAACCTAGCTAATGAAACAAAAATTGACAATAAACTTTGCCCAAAAATTTCATTCTTTTTCGAAGAAAAAAATGTTCCGGGCTGCATTTTGTTTAACCGTTGATCATTTATAATAACACAACTTTTTCTGAAGAAAATGACGAGCAATATTTTTCAGTTTCATGAAAAATTGGACAGAAAGGGTGTGCAATTTCATCTTTATAATGATATACTGATTGATATGGAAGAAACGTTTTGTAACTGAGGTATAAATGTCTTCATTTATCGTTAGATCATCATGTGACCAGTAGAATCGTCGACTTATCTCATAAAACGCCTGTAAGAGAGGAATAGATATGAATTAAAAAAGAGTTCATGTTCGCCGGCATAAATATGTTTATGGCCTCTACCCTACTCTGAGTTGGGCCCAAAATATTTTCATGCCCAAGAGCATAAACTATATTACTATAACACTTCGGAGGGCACCGAGAAAATTTAAAGTGAAAAAATGGACAACAAAACTGTCCATTAAACAAGCACTCGAGCGTTGACTAACGGTCAAATGGTTTTTATTTTCCATTCTGATTCTGTAAAAAGGCTTGAAAGGTAAATCCGAGCTTATGTATAGTTTATTTGTTAACGACTGTTTGATTCTCGCCAAGACATTTTTGCCCGCCAAAATATCCATTTTAGTCCCCAAAATGCACCACAGTGACCGACAAAGTGATAACAATATTAATTTCATACTATGAACAACATTTCATTTGGCTCCACATCGACTGCTTTGAAGAGGATTAACTGACCATTGCGGACATCTTGTCTCAAACTCATGCTGAGTCTAGAGCAATCATCTCTGAAAAGCTATTCCAAGTTGGAGACGACCAGCCAAACTTTCCTTCGCTTCGCAAATTCAACATATACTGAGATCTTCCCCATGGGAATAGGCGGATTCATGCTGACGTCATTGTTTATATTTTTGCTCATTTGCATACGGCTTTGCGTAAAGAGGGAAGCATGCTAGATACAAATTGACTTCAGGCAGCTAAAGAGCTAGAAAACCTCAGTACATGGTGAAATTTTTAGCTTTTTGGGTGTAATATTCAAGAAGAAATAGTCTATCAAAAACTGCAAAATTTCTGGGTGGCAAAAGCGCTAATGCGCTCATACATTCTATGTAAAATTTTGAGTTTTTAAACCCGTGTTACACAAAAAGTAGTCAATGCATCAGGCTCGTATTCATTGGCCGAGTTAATCGTACTTTGACCTTTCGATATTCACAACTGATTTATTTTTAGCTCCATCAGAAACTGAATTGCTTATGGTAATGAGGCAAATATTGTAAACAAGGATTCCCCTATAGACCAGTGTTTTGTTCGTCCATACCCCACCTACTGAAACAGAAAACAAAATATAAATACATGTTCCATAATTATTCCTCAAACGAACAAGATACAAGACTTTTATATTGAGCAGTTGCCACTGCCCTTTCAGTCAGTTTGGCCGCTGTAGACGAAGTATCCTGTGCCAATAAATCGTTATCAACTATGGCGACCCACGTTAAATATTCATATTTAGAAAAAACGTTAGCACTCCTAGGGACAAGGTCCAGAGAGGACACATTGAAATAATATCGTTTTTCCTCGGCAACTCCTAGTAGCAAAGAAACAATAGGATTATATGGTCACCGTCCGCAAGAACGCTTCTGGAATATGCCTGTCAGTTGTCTTTGCAATTCGCATTATTTTTTGGAAGACTGACGCGGATGTCGGAATAGGGTGTTTTTTTTTTCTTTTACGGCTTTTGCTCCCATCTTGTTCCTCGTCCGTTCTTAGGCTATGTATATATGTACAGGAGCAAAGGAGATAGTTTCAGTAAATTAGCATAACTTTGGCTCAGCGACGGTAAAAAGTTAAGCGGTGTAAATCAGAATCGGTGCAATTCATTCGGGGAGTTCGGGAGATAGTTACGCGATTTTTAACAACCAACCCTATGGTCACCTCTGGTTCATTAAACAACTCTTTGTGAACTTTCTCATTTTATTTCTGAATGCATGGATTGTTTGTTACAGAAGCGAATTTGTTGTCTTGGGAAAACTGGGGTGGAAAACCCTGCTGGTTACCAGTGCTCTACGAGATTGCACTCTACCCGTGCAAGGAACGCCTGACAAATACTGTATCTTACAAACATCAGATCATCGTTAAACGGGTGGGTAAAGTGATTTTCACGTTTGACCGCGTTCCGTGTTGTGGTTGAGGTTTCGTGCAATTGTTCCGTTTCAGTCCTGTGTTTTCTTTGCTATGTCTTACGTGCCTTTTGTTCGGCTGTGCCGTGGTTTTGTTGGCAGACAAGTTTTAGGACCGATCTTCGCGCGTAACATGTCAAACGGACAAAAACAAAAGGTTCTGGTCACTCGTAACGTCCCCCAAGCAGCTATTGAAATTATCAAGTCATCTCAGAGGTAAACATCTTGTAATAATTTGTCTAAAAGAATAATTTCTCCAACGAGATCTATAAAATATAATTTCACAGATAGAAAATTTGATTGAATAACTTGTACACGTGTACATAATTTTTTAACAGGAAATAAATTTGTAGTATTTTAGTTATCATTGTTTGTTTATTTGTTTACTCGACTATCAACAAGGAATGATTAAGTCTTAAAAGTAATGTGTTGACTATTTCTGACAAATTAAAAGCCAATTATTACCACTGTGTTTTAAGTGTGAAGACTTAACGACCGTCAGAGGTTTCGTCATTTACGGACAAATAAATTTTGGTACATTAATTGTGCTATAGGCTACAAGTTCGTATTTTTAAGCTCCTTCGCCCTTAACTCATACTCATAGAAGAGATTAACATGTTATTCCTTGGAATTATCTCCATATAATTAAAAAATAAGGAATGAGAACAGAAAAACATATCAGCATATCTTTATTTTTATAAAACATTGAATTCTCTTGGTTAGTTTGAAGAGAATTGTATAGCTGTGGGAAGAAAGAGTTTTGATTCTGATCTCACAGTAGTTTTTCAAGACTAACAACAACTTGTTTGAATTTTACCAAGATAAGCAAATATGGACTTTTTCCTTGTGTACCATTGAGATAAAGATGATGATCGTTAAAACCCTCCTCTGGCTGCCACACGTTTTTCTTGTAAATTGGTTATGAGAATTTGGTGTTAGATCAGTTAACAACTTCAGCCTGATATTTTTGAGTACTCTTCTTACCTGTTTGCTAGAAAATGTATGGAAGTTATAGGGACAACTTTTATGTTAATCACTTCTGGGAGTTAGTATGTGTAATCAAATGGCGATGAGTGAAATAAGGAAATAATTTCACCCGTGTTTTGTCAAAATTCTGATAATTTCCCAAGGCTTTTAGGTGAGGGAAATTATCAGAATTTTGACAAAACGCAAGTGAAATTATTTCGTAAATATTTCACGCGAAAACCAT